TTATTATCGATACGCGCACTCAGGGTCTTAACATAAATTCCATGGGTCCTTTATCGACGACTGCTTTAATTCGAATGTTAATATAATGCTCGTCACTTTCGTTTTTTTAATTAATGCAATTTCAACATGACGAATGGTGACATGGTAAGAGGAGTTAAGCGAACCTTATTTATTCTGTTGATTCTGGAATTATCTTGATAATAAGCGGCCTTTAGAAGAAATCGAGAAGATATTTTTTCTCATCAATATCTACAGGGAAAGTTCGATTTTCCTCTCAAATGAAAAATGACCGGAGGAAAGTGGCTTATTCCATTCCTCGGATTTCTGATGCTTTCGACGATCCTCGGATTGACATAACCCACGTTCCTACCTGCATTTACGAAAGAAAATCGAACTTTAATGTGCAGTTATGACGAAAAATAATATGTGCAGAAATTCACTTTTATAAAAATTATAAAAAATCAACGCATGTTTCCCGAGGGGTATATTTCATAAAAATATAATCCGGGACCCCTCCCCGTCACCCCCCTAAATGTTCAACCCTCCGCATACATGCGTCTGTTTTCCACCCCCTTTAAAGACCCAACTCCCGGTTTTTTTTACGCAATTTATTAGTACAGTTAGCACCAAAAGTTAAGCTAATCTTTCGCCAGAATCGTTCCCCAGTTTCAGCGTCATACTAGCGCTAAGGCATAAATCAATCCATGAATGGGCAGTTGTTGGTTGTGGTGTCGTGCGTTCGCAAAACAATTAAATAAAGAAAGAATAAAAAGTGAAGTACCATCGACGTCGTTACTTTCTTCCCCCTCGCAGACTTTTCTGTTTATCGGATTCTCGGGGGTGAAAAAATTATGAGACTTGTGTTTTACCTTGAATGGAGAATAAAAAGTCTCGAAAAGTTTGGGATAATTGTCATTGGGACAGTATTTAATTGTTGGCTTGAAGTTTTTTAGTCTACGTTATTTTTTCAAATTGCTCCTGCTGTTGATTTTTACGTGACAGTTCGATATTTCAACAGCAACTATGATATTCCCTAAATTTCTTTCTAATTCCACGCTTTCGAATTTCAGAGAAACGTAGTCTGGGGGACGCGTGTTGCCAAGGCAAATGATGGAAGAACATATAACTTTGAAGTCATGAACGATACAGACAGAGCTTCTGATGTTAATTGTATAGAATCCATCGCCTCGACTTCCTCTGTGACGAATGACGAGTCTGCTCTTGATGATGAAGTCGAGGCAGCATTTGAGACTTCAAGTTATGAAGCAGAAGTTGAAGTTTCTGATGAACTAATCGATGAGAAAATCCAGGAGTTTATCAATTCATCTATAAACACAGAAGTTTTCACAACATCGCCAACTGCCAGTGCTGAGAGCCACAATTATGACCAGGGAAAACACGTAAAACATGTATTCAAAGATTTTGGGACTCAGACCGTGAAGAGAAGTGGGCATCGCGGACATTGAGCACGCAAACTGAGAAGAGATCAGTAATGGATGACTTTGAAAACTACTTGCAATCTGATCCCAAAGAGTGTTTCTTCTATACAGGTCTATATTTTTGTCAGATAAAAATTCTTTTGTCATTTCTGAGTCCAGCATGTTATCATTTGCAGTATTGGAACACTCCAAAAATGGATTAACTGATAATGATGAGGATGATAGAATGAGTGATGATGAAGATAATCCTAGATTGGAATTAACTATCAGGCAACTATTGATATTAGTTGTGGTCAGATTACGTGTTGGTTTATTAATTCAAGACTTGTCGTATCGTTTCATAATTTCTGTCGGACTTATAACAAAAATCACAGTAACTTGGATTCATTTTATGTACACGCAACCAAATAACAGGAGCATAAAACAATTGCGCATGTTTCCACCGCGCCAAATAATTGCTCGTACATTACCGAAATCTTTCAAGAAATTGAACAATTCGAGTTTTGATAGATTGCACAGAGTTTTTCTGTCAATCCCCTGCTAATTTTGAACAGCAAGGTAACATGTATTCGTCATATAAAGCACACTCAACTTTTAAAGTATTGATAGGATGCACACCTAATGGAGCAATTTGTTTTGTATCTGATGTATACGAGGGGTGCATTTCCGATCGAGAAATTTTTATACGGTCCTAATTTGCTGATTATCTAGAAGAAGGCGACTTAGTACTCGCTGATAGAGGTTTCACAGTTTCAGATTTTGTTCAAGCGAGGGGAGCCCATTTGAATATACCTCCCTTCTTAAAAAGACGAAAACGCCTAACAGCTCAAGAGGAACTTCAGACAAAGTTAATTGCTAAACAGAGAATATACGTTGAACATGCTGTAGGTAGGATTAAACAATTTCGTATATTACACAGTACATTGCCACAACTTAAAGTGGTATGATTTCACAGATCGTTTTCGTTTGTGCATGCCTGGTGAATTTTCAGAAGCCTATTGTGAAGGATTGAACGAAAAATTCTTCAATATTTCATTTTATATTTATTGAATCAAAATGAATTACTCGTATTATGTATATTCATAACTTTTATATTGGACTCTGATGTCTTTGATAAATAAAAATATCAATATTTAAATCCTTAATACTCATTGACTTGAAACCCAATCATAAATAAATAAATAAAACATTTATTACTCAAGTTCTATCGATTATAGAAATTTCGGATGTTTTCTACTATGTCTAACTTTAAAGTTATAGATTTTTGCTATAGAATTTTCCTTTATCACTGTCTAAGTATGAATCTAACATTCCTCTCTCTCCCACTGCCGTTTTTAATGATGAACAAACAACAAAATAACTATACAGTTTTGTTTTTCAAGACTTGAAACAAATACTGATTTCATGCATTGGTTCCGATGCTTAATCTTTGGACAGGTCGAAAGGTGGTAGCCAACGAGGTATTCTCATTTCAAAATACTCAGGGGCTAGATTGTTTTTATGAAAATGCATTGCTCCTTCAGTTATACATTTAGCCACTGTTGCATTGTATGGGATCCTCTCGATGTTGATGCCTTGAGGTGTCCAGATAACAAAATCAAACCAAGTTCTCTCTGTTATTGCCATTTCCATCTGAACTTGATAATAATAGGGATGGTTGTGGTTCAACTTCAGAGAGACATGAGTATCAGAAGTGTGATCACTTGCAGCAAAACGAACTTCTTTGCTGGGGCGTCAGTACGTGTACATCGGTGGGCTTTGCCTGCTCCAATACTTTTGGACACTCAAGTGATTTCCAATAATCCCAGCGACTTGTTGGCATTGGGATCCACAACCAATCCATCGGGAGAAGCTCCCAATCCTGGGTATCTACGATTCAGCCAACTACCGGTTTCTTCAATTCGTCCAATTCGGCCCAGATTAAACGGCATAAACACACCATAAACACAGGTAAATACAAACACAAACCCGAGAAACTCAAAACCAATTACCCATTGATAGGACACCAAACCAGATTCACGTACACGCGACCAACGTACAAACGTACGAAGATAGATCGAAATTCAAATTTAGAAACGTATAAAAAACTCAGACAATTGAATTTTTATGGACAGTTCACAATGGATACGAATGAGGAAGAGTACGGAACAATTGTTCCATCAAACAAAGATCGAGATAAACTAACAGTCCGTGGATTTTTGCACACCCTCAGATACTCGAAAAAAGAAAAAATGGAGAAGAGGCCTTGAAAAAATTGTTTCAATTACTTAAAATGTTGAAAAAAATTCCCTACATAATTTCCCATTTCTCAAAATAATCCGCATTTTAATAATGGAAAACATCGCGCATGAATTACATTATCTTCCCACATATGGCCTTTTAACAAGTTGAGCAATTGATCAGGACTTTTGGGACGTAGGAATTTGCTTACTACTGATGCAGTTATCAAAATTTTTCTAAGTTGCTACCACTTATTCGAAGACAATTGGTCATTGCCTGTAATGCATTTTGGACCTTCTGTTCTTGCAATCAATCCCTCGTAGAATTGGAACACGAGTCTACGAAGAACACCCTTCGAAGGTAAGCTGAGTTTGTAATCGTAGAGGGGTTGAATCCTCCTCCACAGGATTCTTGCAAGGAATTTATTAATTGTTTCTCCTTCACTTCGGGATTGCACATCTTTTAGTAATGAAACTGGACGCGTTCCTCCTATCCAGATCCATGCGGTTTGATCAGGTTTGGGTCCGTCAGGCCTGATCCAATTTGGATCTAAAACGGCGTTACACATTTAACCAGGACCTAATCAATTCACATCATCACAGTCTAATCCAACGTCAGGGCGGACCTGATCAAATCCTGATCGAAATTTCTACTCGGGTGTTTGTTTTTCTCTTAGCGTACATTCAGCGTACAGCATACCGACATACATACATACATACGGACATGGTCTCAAATCATGGTATTCTAATTCCTTCCAAAATTCGTTGTCCTGTCACAAAAAACTGGGAACTGCGAGTTTGAAGATTACAAATTCTTCTGTTCAGCAAAAAAAACCGAAAAAAAAATCATATCTCTTATAAGGGCCATAAAATAATTCTGAAAAAATATCAGATAGTGTTTCAAACCCCACAATGCTGCGAAAACATCCTTTTCAGTTTCGAGAGAGGGAGGATCAAGGGTTGACCGGTTTAACATGGAATAATACCTCATACATTTAGATTTCATCTAGGGGAATCGATTTCATAGGAAAACTGGTTAGGGATCAAGGACGGACAAAAGATTAATTGTTTTTAATAATTCAGAGTATTGAGATAGAATGAATATATTGTAATAAGAATGAAGGGGGACGAAAATTTGATAAGTCAAGTCATTTTTTTGAAAAACGAATTAAGTAAATAAAAGACGATTGTTTTCAGAATGACTGATTGAGTTTTTAATGCGTTGGTGAGAAATTCTTTTGTACATGAAGTATATTGGTATCTGAGGGCTACTATGTATGCAACGTGATGTTTTCCATTATTTTCCGGTGCCTAGAAATTCCTTCTCCCTGAATAGGTTAGGATGGAGGAAGAGCTTGGTGTTAATACTGATGCGAAAGTTCCTGAAACGCTCGACGACTCACAGGTAAAATGTGAAAAGAATTTTTCTTTTTTTTTCAGTTTCCATTTCTCTATACGTTATATTTTAACGGTAGGTTGACAGGAGCCCGATAACGACCACAACGAAAAATGCCTTGATTACCAATCGCCTGAGCCCATGCGATACCTACCCTCATAGGCTGAAAGTATCTGTCGTGGGGACCGGGAAGGTTGGCATCGCCTGTGCGATTGCTATCCTCATGCAAGTATGTAAACTCGATGGAAAAATAAGGGAATATAGACAATATAAATGGGGAAACAGGCACGTACATACAAAAATGTGAGATAATTACCGCAATTAATCTGTCGGCAAAATCCCACAGAGAATGGCGAGCGAAGTCTGTCTGATCGACAAGAATGCGGCACGAGCGGAGGCCGAGGCCGAGGACATCCGGCATGCTGGCATCTTCCTAGGGAATCCATTGGTCAGTGGTACAGCCGGTAAGGATTCCCAAAATTTTTGCAATCAAGCACATTCACCTGTTTGTTCATTTATTCCCAATATTTTTCACCATTTCTCATCAAATATTCATGTCAATTTTTTTTGTTATTCCATGCAATCGGATTTGAGGATGCATCTTTGGCATTTTGGTCATATTTCTAGATGATAATAACTTATAAAAAATTAAATCCTTTAATATTCTTTATAATTTTGCATATTTTTCTGGTCAATGGTAAATTAATTTTTGAATCAAATGCATGATAAAAATTACTAATCGGATTTCTCACAAAAATGGATAAATTTTTCTAGCTTCTATTTATTTTTCGTGGCATGTACATTATTCTCATGAGTACTCCGAAGAATACAGAAAAAGTTCATGAACAAAAGTTGAAAAAAAATATTTAATGAAAAAAAATTTTTGACTTGAATTGCGTCAAACAGTCGTTTTTCGACTATTTCATTTTGCCCCACTTTCCGCTATAGCAATACTATTTTCTTTAAATTGTGACGAGAGATGATAATAATCCAGTACTTAGCATTGCAGAAATAAGAAAGTTGCATTCATCAATTGCAAACAAAACTATGCATTCATTCTCTATTTCTTGTTGCTTTCTTCTCCCAAAACTGTAGCGATTAGTCTCACTCAATTAAACACGTAAGGCTGTTGCTCCAAATATTTCAAAAATGGGAAATTCCCAAGGGAAACAACAAATGACACCTGACTCTATTCCACCTGCTTTTCCCTCCATTGTTCCCATTTGAAAATCAGGAATCTCCATTCTTTTCACTCTTCTTTTTTATTCTGACCATTTCGTCCTATCAACGGGTGCAGGATTGGTCGTTTTAACAGATCACGCTCATCGCGTCGGAGACCTATCTACGTGGAAAAGGCAGACAGACAGCTCAGTGGCCAGGACACGATTCCTCAGACGATGGAAGGACACGCTCACCCGGTCCATTCGTCCCCACTCATTCTTCACTAATCTCATCAACCGATCTCTCACTCGTTCTCCCTCTTTCTTTCTTTTTTCTCTTTCGTCTCTAATACCTGGAGAAAACCTCCTCAAGCGACAGCATACCTTTTATCTTCTCACCAGGATCGTCCTGGATGTCCGGATTACCAATTTTTTCTATCCACTGATCTATTTATCCTGCACTTGAGATGATGGAAACTGTCAAATGTCTGGAAGGCTATTCTCGAATAGGAATCGTTCATTTGCTCGCATAAGCCTCCCCTACGGCTAAAACAGGCATCCTCAAAAACACAAAACATAGATATTGTTATTTTACTACACATCAGTTAATAATATCAAACGAATTTCCATTATTAAATCAACTGTTAATCAATTCTTCAAAGTTTGAATTATATTCTCAATCAATAATTTTAATTTTTAATTAATGCATCCATCACTAATTGAGGTAGTCAAATTTCCGATTATTTCGTGAATCGCACTCTGAAATTTAGAATTCTTTACTTAATAACTAATCGACAACTCTGTAGCGAAGCGGTAAACTGGGTTAATTTGAAAACTGTGAATTATACAAGAAAGCTGAAAAACTGATAGTGACTGTCCTTTTGTGAATTTAATCAAACTTAGGCACGGATTTCGTTTAATATCGAGGAAGATTTTAGCATGGATAAGTTGCAACTTCGGCGGACTATTTTTTAACAATTTTTATCGACTTAGCTCTCTTGATGTTCCTCTCCAACCGAGTTGTCGACTTAAACCGCCACTCAATAAAAAAATCGATTGAGATATTATCAGGTGGATGGATTTAATCAATTTTCCTTCATTCTAAAGTCATAATAAAATTGTATAGTCAGTAAAGTGGGAAAGTTAGAAACCTAATTCTTTAATTCAAACTACTCTAATTCAAAAAGAATATTAAGAATACCCATTGAATCCATGCAAAACGAGCTAAATCGACTTAGCTCATTTTTAAATCATTGTTTTCGGGTTATGTCGACTTAGCTCCTCTGAAATGGATTTTTCCCAAAATTGCGACACAACCCGTTTCATTTCGTTCCGAAAAGGGCATTAAATATATTTTGAGGCTAAAATCGTTTATGCCGCAGATGCATCATACCTTCAAGAGTCAATTTTAGTGAAAAACTTATGTTCAAAAAAAATGCACTTAACCCGGTTACCGCTTCGCTACTGAACTCAGATTATTGATTATTCTATTAATGTCCAATTTTCAAATAAAGCCAACAAAATTGAGTAATTTACGAATAACTTCTTTTAATATTACCACCAACTAATATAACTGGTGATGCTTGGCCCAAACGAACGATCGTGACTCGAGAATAGCCTCTCTGATCCCCAGAATTTTTTTTTTTTTTAATTTAAATCGCTTGATCTTCTCTCCCAATGTCTCGTACTGTTGCTGTTTCTAATTTATGCGAGATTCACTCGGTTGATGCAAAATAAAAACCTCTAGGGTCCGACCGGCCTCACGTAACATCCCAGAATGTCTAAATTTGGAATTTTCTCAAAACTAAAGAAATTCCCTGAAGACTCATTATGGCCCCTGTTTTTCGTCATAGGAAAGAAAAATAAACATCGAACCTATCTCAATCAAAGTTCGTGACAAAAATGATGATTTCACGCTTCACAAGGTGGAGAATTCAGTAACACAAAAGGCCGAAACGATAAAAAAAAAGGTTGAGGGGAGAGTATTCTTGGAATGAGAATGTATACACACGATTTCGTCCACTGCTTCTCTCAAATACCGTTGGGACATTAGAATATCTTAATCTCCTCGTGTCTTCATTAAGTCCACCTCGTTTTGCCTCAACTCGACATTTGTTTTTATTCACTGCATTTGGATGATTTTCAGATATAACTATGGTGAAGGAATCGGCAGTGGTGATAATAGCTATTGGCGAGCCTGGTCCCCTGGAGAAGCCGAATATCCGACATAATGTGGAGATCTTCAAGAAGATTGTACCCGCTATTGCCAAGTTTGCCGGTCGCGCTGTGTTGCTGGTAGTCACTCAGCCCGTTGATGTCATGTCCTACATCACTTGGAAGCTGTCAAAATTTCCATCGAACAGGGTGCTTGGAAGTGGCACCTTGGTGGATACTGTGAGATTACAGTATTATCTGAGTCAGAGGCTTGGGCTGGCCAACACATCCATCAGCTGCATGAGTATTGGAGCACAGGGGGAGACTTCAGGTTAGGTGGCATCAGGCAAATGCGATGATAAAAAAAATTGGTTTGATCGACAAAGAAACGATTATTATGAATGTTATGCTCAGCATCCAAATGGAAGCATTGCAATTCAATTTCCTAATTTTCAGTATTATAATGACTAAATATGGCCATATTCACTAATCACTTTTTTATTGCTTTCGAATGGAATCATTGTACACCCAAAAAAAAACTACTGATTCAAGTCGACGTCGGTTTGATTCAGACCGAGTGACTCGGACTAGGCCAATCCGAATTCCGGGTCTGATATAAGTCGAAAAGTGTTTTATTTCAAGCAGAAACGGGTCCAGCCAACACCGGTTTGAATGAAACCGAAAAATCGGCTTGAATCAAACCGGAAATTCGGTCTGAATCGAACCGGAAAATCCGTTTGATGCAAACCGGAAAAATCGGTTTGAATCAAACCGAAAAATCGGCTTGAATCAAACCGAAAAATCGGTTTGAATCAAACCGAAAAATCGGTCTGAATCAAACCGAAAAATCGGTCTGAATCAAACCGAAAAATCGACCTGAATCGAACCGAAGAATCGGCTTGAATCAAACCAAAAAATCGGTCTGAATCAAACCGAAAAATCGGTCTAAATCAAACCGAAAAATCGGTCTAAATCAAACCGAAAAATCGGTCTGAACCAAACCGAAAAATCGACCTGAATCGAAACGAAGTCGGTCTGAATCAAGTCGAAAGAGCAGACCAATATTCTAGTTTGCATCTGCCCAAGTCCGACTTGATTCATGCCGTCAATTCGACATGAAACAAGTCAATTCCCGGCATGATTCAGACCGATTTTTCAGCCTGATTCAGACCGATTTTTCGATTTGATTCAAACCGATGTCGGCATAACCCGTTTCTACTTGAAATAAACCGATTTTCGACTTATATCAGACCCAGAATCCGGATTGGCGTAGTCCGAGTCAGTCGGTCTGAATCAAACCGAAAATCGGTCAGAATCAAACCAACGTCGACTTGAATCAGTACATTTTTTTAGGTGTAGTCATATTTTTCCCTCATTGAGGTTTTTCCTCGACCTCCAGCGAATATAGTACAGGGGGCAGGGGATGGAAAGAGAACGAATCATAAAAACCCGAAAAGGTATAGGAGAGAAAAAAAATACGAATTCCATGCATGGGAAATCATAAATTTTTGATTATTTAATTTTTTACGTTATTTATCATAAAAAGCGTAGGACTGGCTACCGCTCGAGGGCTTGAAACATTTGGAAAACTCTTTTTGGACTACGCCCAGGTATAGAAAATATGTAATTCTTGAGCATTAACTGCATTTCCATAACTGGAAGTTCGAAAAGTTCGAGAAGTTCACATAAAAGCTCATCACGTGCACGAAAAATCTTGGATTAATCGAAAAAATAATCATTATTAATGAAAGGACATGCTAATACGTATGAAAAACTCGTGTAGAAATCTTCTATACGGATTGCGTGTAGAATTTCTATAGGAATTTCGTATACAATACTTGGATATTTCTACACGGATATTTTTTATACAAATTATTTCTACACGATTTCTATAGGTTTGATTCTATACGACCCCCTGCCATATGTGTAGAAACATTTCGCATGGAGTTGCGACATTTCTCTACGTTTTTCTCTGGAGTGCTTAGACATCTTTCGTATGAAAACAAAAATTTATGTAAAAACTCATGTATAGAAATAATTCGTATAGAAAATATTCGTATAGAAATATCCGAATATTATATACGAAAATCCTATAGAATTTCTATACGCAATCCGTATAGAAAATTTCTATACGATTTTTTCATACGTGAACAAGCTAACACATTGTTATGTTAGTACAATATATTGTGAATGAATCCATTATTTTACTGTGGAAATGAAATTTAAGTCGAATATTACGTATGGATGATGTGCGGTGATGTAACGTTGAATAAAATGTCATGTTTTTTTCCCTATCAACATATCAATCATTCAAACTTCCTCATTCCTTCAAAGGAAAAACTATATGATTACATATCACACTTTTCCTCAGTTTCGTTATGTGTTTCGTTATGTGTCAATTTCGTTATGTGTTGTAGGACATTTTAGATAACATAGGGAGCTTTACTATGTAACATAGTATATATTGCTGTGTCCATAGTACCTATTACCATTGAGGAGCTCACTATGCCCCGTCGTAACCATGCGATGTTCCATGGCAGCCATTACCATAGCCATAGTAATACTTGCAAAACTTTTGTAATGTTTCCTATGTGCGGATTCAGAGATGGTAATCGTTACTATTTTATTTTCTCCGTGTACGAAATGAGCTAATTTTAATCTGCAATCCAATATTCATTATTTGACTTTCACAATTGAATTTCTCGCATCAACTTTAAACAATTTAGTTCCAGTTTGGTCAAGTGTTCACGTAGCTGGCATGAAGCTGCGCGATATAAATCCACGAATGGGTGAAATAAGTGATCCAGAGCGTTGGTACGAGGTAACGAATGCGATGAACGAGACAGAATCGAAGTTGAATGGTGAAAAGGGTGAGAACGGACCAAGCTCCTGGTGCCTCGGTATATGCACAGCCCAGATTGTCGATGCCATCCTGAGAAATACGAAGGTCGTAATCCCGGTTTCTACGTACATCCACGTAAGAATTTTCTCCCCTCTCGACTCTTCGGCTTGATCACGATCGATGAGTGATTCACTAGGTGCCGAAGAGGAGGTTTGATTTTAATTTTTTTTTTCTTATTTCTGTACCTTAGAGTTGCATTCATGGCACCGACAAGGACGTCTACATGTCTGTACCATGTGTTCTTGGAAGAGAAGGCGTTCATCACACTGTTAGACAGAAATTAACTGACCAGGAGAAGTCATGTGTTCAGACATGCGCCGATGCTATTCGAAATACACTGCGTGATTGTGGCATACTCCAGGAGTCACGCGATGATGATGAATCGAGTTGATTCGTTCGTCAATATTCTCGCAGGATACTCTTATGAATTCATTTATTTTAGAATTTCAGTCTGCAGTGAAGCGGTCTACAGAGAGTATGAAATTATGCAAAACATTGTATACAAATTGCCTGATGAATATCTCAGAAAATAGTGTACTGTACGAAAATATATCAGAAGATCCTTTCCGAATTCCATACAACTTTTAAGACAAAATTCTTTTGAATTTGAATTCTTCCAATTTCTTTATTTTAAAGATAAGGTAAATGATCCTACACTCGTCTAGCTAAGGTGAATACATCATTAGTCTAATATTTCTATTGAAATGAATGTAGATGAGATGTTTTAAATTATATATCAAAGAAAGTAAAAACTTCAGAATTACAATTCACTTATATGAATCATGCTAATTATGATTTTTTAATAAATAATCGTCCATAAACGTGGAAAATCGTATGTTCCTATATTCGCTCATTTGTCCCCATGCCCGTTCGACACATGATCCTATCCTCATCTCGTGATTTGAATGATATGAAAAGGTTATATCCGAACTAATTATATCGTGAGTATCCTGTTTGGGATGAAGCAACATAAAAAAATATCCCGAGGCACAAAATTATATATCAATTGGACAGTCCAACCTTTTGAATGATTTTTTGATCCATTTAGTCCGTTACCAGTTGACAGTTGGTTACAAAACGAGCATAGGGTCAATGCCATTTCCATTGTACCTACTCTTTCAGTTGCCGACATTTCTGTGTAATATTAAGATATTACTATAATTTGTGCATTTTTTTGTTTTTTTAACCATCCGAAACCTCAGTCAGGGATTTTTTAATCCCATTTCACAATTATAACGGAGATATCAACATTTTAAAATTGTGAGTTTCTTAACTCGCCGCTTAAGAATTCACTCTATCGTAGCACCATAGTTGATGTGGACCGAATTTTTCTCTCATTCTTCAATAAATCACTGTTCATTGGTGTCTATAACTTTTCTTATTAACTAAAATAATAACTCCAATCGTATTTCACTCTTGATAAACTCTTCGGACTGTCAAAATGATTAAAATGTGAAAGAGGCGAGCATATAGGTACATTTACCTTATTCGCATAAGAATCTGTACGAGAATTCTAGGCTTATTTAATTTTACTGCTTTAGTACTGAATTCCATTGCTCTTCAATTGCATTCTTCACCATTTTTATCCACTTTCTTCTTCTTATTCCCAAGAAATTGCATAATGTATACTTGACTATTCATGAAAAAGGTAAAATGAAGAAATACAATCGAAAACAATTCAATTCCAACGGAAAATAAATCAAATTAGTGAATAGTGAATGGGAAGCTAGCGGGTACCACTGGGATAAGTTGGTTAAGTCTATCGGAAATGAGAATCTTAGTATCCATACGTATGCATGGTGCAGTCCTTTACCAATGGAGAAAAGAGGAACGAGGAATAAAAGAGGAGATCGGGACACGCACCTGCGCGATAGAGCATCTGGCGATCGATCAAGCGAGGCTATAGAACCGTTTCTTATTCCCACTGGATAAAAATTGGTGAAAAAAAAAAATTAAATAGGGATGATGATGATAGTAAGAAAAAAAATTGAAATAAATTGAAACTTGGGATCGATGGCGAACTCCAGCGGAAATGAAAAATTCCGCTCGTGCCTCTCAAGTAGCCTAGTGTCCAGCTGGAGAACGGAGGACAGGTCATTATGCCTCAAGTTTTGCTGTATACCGATCACTCAATACGGTTTCATATGCTTCCTGTCTATTGTGAATGTGTTCATGCAAATACTTAAGGATGTTAAAATTTTCATACACTTGGATTCACACATTTCCGACGAAGAAAAAAATTATTACAATAACAAGATATTGATCTTTAATAAAAACGATTCTGTACTTTCAATAATGCAAATTGTCAATAGTGAATGCAAATTTACTTATAAATTCACATAATTCTTGAACAATTACAAAAAAAACGTTATTTTATTCTTTCGTATACCCTCTCGGGTTTTTACGATTTGTTCCCTTCCCACCCCCAACCCCTTGTACCGTATTCGCCAAGGGCCAAGGAAAAACTTTGACCAGGTACAGTCGTCCCTTGCGAGACTCCCGTTCGAACAATGAATCTGTGAAAATTAGAGCGTTAAGAAATCATTTCGCCCCGCCACCAGAAATCGAACTCAAGTCCTCCGCGGGCCAACCCCACGCTCTAACCACCCAGCCATCGCCGTCGGTAATTAAAAAAATAATATCTATCTAATTTTCTATACAGTCAATATCGAGCTAGAAAATTTCATGCAATCTGCAATTTTGTCAATGTCTCTGAAACTAATAGATTCAGAGAAAAATGTTAAAAGCCTGCTAGGAAGATTTCTTGTCATACTTGCTCAGAATATTTCGTGTAACAAATAGTTTGCTCTAACTCTAAACGTTGTCAAATGTCTGATCACTTGAAAAATCCACAATTTCACGTATGAAAAAATCGTATAGAAATTTTCTATACGGATTGCGTATAAAATTTCTATAGGATTTTCGTATATGATATTCGGATATTTTTATACGGATATTTTTTATACAAATTATTTCTATATGATTCTTATAGGTTTGATTCTATATGACCCACTGCCACATGTATAGAAACATTTCGTATGGAGTTGCGACATTTCTCTATTGTCTTTCTCTGGAGCGTTTAGACATCTTTCGTATGAAAACAAAAATTTACGTAAAAATTTATGTATAGAAATAATTCATATAGAAAATATCCGAATATCATATACCTATAGAATCCTATAGAATTTCTATACGCAGTCCATACAGAAAATTTCTGTGCGATTTTTTTTATACGTGCTGAGTCAAGAATATCAGAGAAACTTTTTCATACTGCTATTTTTCAATAGAAAATATCTCTCGATTTTCACAAAATGTCTCCATTTACTTTACTTTTTTTTCGGGTCCATGTTCATAAAACTTCCGTTGAAAAAACTCGGTCAAAACAGCATTGATAGCAACAAAACTTGAAAAAAAAATTCGAACAACCTGAACTTCAAAAAACTTGAAAAAAACTTAAACTTTTAACGTATCAAGAACATTGCAAAAGAAATTGAAAAAAGTCCATACGTATATATACATACGTACATACAGACACCTTCTAAAACCGCATATTCGGATTTTTTGGACCATATTTAGTTGCCCTGACACAAAAATTTTGAACACAAACACAGGTTTTACCGAAGGGTTTTATTAACCAAGGTTTAATTTGACCAAAGTTCAATTAACCAAAAGTTCACTTTCCAAGTTGAATTTAACCACGTTTTTTAAACAAAGTTTTTTGACGAAGTTTTTTAGACGTGCTTCGTCTTTTTCCGAGCATTTTTGACACACAATTGTCAATTCTTTAACCTCACTTTATAATTATTGCCGACCGTTGACCGTGCCAAAAATTCCAGTATTTGAAATATTGAATAAGAATGACAGAGAAACCAGGAAACACAGCTACTTACCTCTTAGCAAAACAAGTCAAGCAACTTCCTGACGCACATCGTGTCAAGGTCGTAATAGTAGGTACGGGAAATGTGGGAATAGCAACAGCAATATCGATATTATTCAAAGTAAGCCAATCATCCTATTCACAATTGCAATATCTATCATCATCCCATTTCATCCAATCTCTCCAACATCTCCAATCTCTGTTGATAATCATGAGAGCACCCGATGGTCAGCCCCTGGAGTAATTCAATACAATTCCCTTCCACACTAACCCAAATAACTCGATCAAATAGCATCGTAGTACGGGAAAGCCCATGGAAGAGGCTCTTAATATGATGACACGGGAGTCATGCTGCCATGGCCATTAGTAATCCGAGATCTACCTAGCCCCTTCTCGCCCTTAACCACCTTCCTCTCCTCACCCCTACTGGTTATCCCCACATACACTTTATTTACTTACAACACCTAGTCACCCTTCTCCTTTGCTTGCTCGAATAACGAAGAGAAAAATCATGGATAATAGTCATGATCCGAGTTTCGATTTACTCAGATAGAGACTGAGTTGTTTGTTGATGCGAAAATGAGAGAAAGGTAGAAGAGGAAAAAAGGGAGTCAAGCTACCGAATGTCCGAGCAAGATGGAGAGAGGGGAAAGAGGGAACTCATATTAATGAACCAAGAGGGGAAATTGGATGCTAAAAGAAAAGAAGCGTCTGAATTCAGCTTCCCTTTTGGACAGAGAAGAGAGAACTCACTATCGGATCGTAAGGCGAGTATTTACAAGTCCTCGGAGCGCACCCGCAGGACTTTCTCTCTTGTATTTTTTTTTGTTTTTTCACTCAAGACCACGACAAACAGAGGTCTTGTCTCGACTTGGGGTAACGAAATTTAATTCTCCTCCCAATGCTTCGCCTGAACTTCCAATAGTTTTCTTTGTCATCTTTGTCACTTCTGATGCAGTTGAATAAAATATTTTACGTCAGAAATTTTGCTAGTTTGAGGTCAAGAGTTAGGGAAATAATTTTAGGAACACTTTCTCCGGTTGGAGAATTGCCTCGTTATAATTTTCGCAGAATACATAAATGATTCCTCATGTGTACAAGCTCGTGTTATATATAATCCACATGTGATCGTGGACGCGCGATTCCGGTGGAGTGGAACTGGGTGGGATAATTTTTAGGCCGACTTCCGTCCGGTCCATCATTAAGAGGGTGGTAACAAATGTCGTGTACAAATGAGACCAAACGGATGCAAGGTAACCAACACGATATAGTTACGCTAACGACCCGGATCGTTACTTCGGGGTTCTTGCCTATACAGTCCGTTTAATCGGACTTTCGTGACTATTTCAAGAAGGCAATGATGATTACCAGTTATGCGTTATTAAATCATGCCGGATTCCTCACAGGAATTTTCTAACTGTTTGAGACAAGTTATAATTTTTAACGAAGTCTGATAATGGACTAAATTCTGCCTTGTTCGGGGAAAGGTAACATATATTTTGCCGCCAATATCACTGATAGAAACATTTTTCTACAGGTATCTTGGAATAGAAGATATTTACTACTACAATATTTATTCCTTATCCACTATTTATCGAGATTTTCCCAAATCAATTTACATCAGACATTTGTCACGCTCTCCTCACGATAGAAAAAAAATGAAGATGAGAAAAAGGTTAAATTTTCCGTCACAAAATTCACATGTAGTATATATGCAATGAGTCATAATAACCAAACTCGTTATGGTAAAAATGAAATTTAAGTGGAAAAATTAAGAATATGGGAAAAAATGTCGTCCCACTGTCGAATGAAGAATTGAATTCGGTCCAGAGTGGCCCAAAACAATGACCAATTGCACTCCCTGCTGTCCCACCGTACGTCTCAGTCTAACAGACCGCATCAACAACATAATTGCCAAGTATGAGAATTGTCCATCAGCCTGTACAACCGGACGCCCCACAAAAGCCTACTGTATTCCACCACCATGCCCGCAGTCTCAATTCTGTTCGCCTCGTCCATTTTCGGCTCACGCCTCCAGTTGCTGCCGTGCACCAGCAATTTATCCATCGAGCTCCTTATCACTCGGTGACATAACATGCAAGCAACATTTCAAACCATTTAATGTGCCATTAGCAGTGCCAGGACCTAATTTACAACGGTACTTGTCCACCAAGACTATTTGTCCCTCTCTGAGAGGTCGTTTGATGCTATATGAGAGGCGCCCAGTCCCACAGTGTCCACCATTGTTCCCCAACTGTCCCTTCAAGAAGATCCTATCTTTTTGTCAGTGTAAACAACCAAGATTCCCAAGAAACCCATGTCCAACACCTCGAAGATGCTGTGAAACTCCAGTGACAATATATGAGCCGCCATTTTCGTCACCTAGCCTCGAACGAGAATTTACGAGTAGATTCTCAAGAATACCTCTCTTCTGCTGCGATGATTAGACGGATTACTGATGACAAGAGCCGGTGAATCACAAACCGATTTTAAGATTACCTATTAGCATTCGCTGTTAAAAATTGTTCACTGAAATTTCCGGTAAGGGTCTTGGAAATTTCTAACAAGTAACACGTCCACTGAAATTTCAAGGAATTTTGTCATTGAAAATTCATAATTTCGTGACAAAATCCGTGGGTATTGGAAATTTTAGTTTAATTACTCCCGAAAAATTGATGAAAAATCAGGAAAATTCAGAGAAACGTCTCCTTGCATTCTAGATTCCTCTGAATTTTCAAGAAACTCCTTCAAAAATTCTTAAAATTCCACGAATTTTAAAGGAATTCCCTGAAAATTCAAGGGAATTTGGCAGTGAATATTCATTTTCACTTGAAAATTTATGTAAATTATTTCTTCCTACTGCTAAAGAATTTGGACTTTACTTAAACTTTCAGAGAAACTTGGAATTCCAGAGACTTTTTCTCTTTAAATCGAATTCAAGGTCTTTTTCTGGAAAATCCTATTAATTTTTTTAACAGTGTTGCATCTGACCGAGATTTGAAAGTGGGGAACTCACTCATGTGAATCAAGGAACTTATCCACTGCGCCAGTCACAGGGGCTTGGAAGAAGAACTTACAAGTAGATTCGTCAAGATCCCTCGCAGCTAATATTGATTGGACTTATTACACGTGAATGCATGTTCCCCTTGAGAAAAAAAGGGGCGCTGAAACCTTCCTTCGATGCTTATGAGCATAAAAATTAAAAAAATTCTGCTCAAGAAGTAAAAAACGCAGAACTCACATGCTTCATGCATATATGTACATATGTGGAGCTAAGATGCACGACGCGTTACAAGAACCGCTACCGAATCCTTGCATGCTCGCTTGAAATTCTGTAATGAATGGCCGACAGTTCGTGCCGTTGAAAACACACGTAACGATCGGCAGTGGGTACCATCGGTACCACAGCAGGAGTGCCACAGCAGGAGAAACTGAGGAGGATAGAAAATACGTTAAAAGTGGACCAGGAAAAATACGAATGGCAAGAGCATGGTCCAGAGGGGCACAGGACGTGTAATTACTCAGGAATGAATTATTGCATGGTGGAACCAGGTTGTTTGATGTGGTACTGAAGCTACATTCACGCATTTATATTTATGCAGACTTTTTTTAAATCTTATTTATCAATACAAAAAAGGAAAATGAGATTTTTGACGAATCACTAATGCCCATATTTGAGTTTTTGTTGCATTCGGAGATTGTTTTCCAAATTTCTCCGAAGGAAATAGATTTGGGGATAATCATCTATATATTCATTCTGGAATTCGATAGCCTACAAGAAATATCCTCTGGCCTACAAATTGCTCCTTTTAATTTATAAATTCAAGTAGCTCTACACGTACGATAAATTTAAAGATTATTAAAAACTGCAAAGAATTTCCAAAAAACTTGATTAAATTTGAAATCCGATTTTTTGCTCAATTTAATTAACGTTTTGGTTTTTCAAAGAAAGAATAGTGAAAAATCAAAATTTAACCCACCGTCTCATGTGACAATCAACATTTCCATTGTAATTAACGAGTAAAATCTGTTTTTTCCACTAGATCCACTAGTCCACTTTTAAAAAATCCAGTGTAACGATTTTTGAAACTTCTATTCCGCTTATCAAGTAATGTAATATGATCTCTATGTATATTTTTTATGTACTGTAATCTTTTCTTTACAGTAATTGTAAAAAAAGAGAAAATATATGTACACATTATATAATATATACTATATATGGTATATAATTCATGCTATATATATATAGAATAGTATATATATAATAAATAATACATCACCAAAAATAAAAAGGAACGCAAAATGCAAAAGAGAGACGAAGAAGAGGATGAGAAGAGTATAATGATTCCGAATAAATTATTCAACAATTAACTTCTCATTGTGAAAAACTTTGTTGAAACCATCAATTTTTCCTGCATTACTATTCAGATAAAAGTTAATGAAAGTGAGAAGCGGTAAGGTTTTACTATTCTGGAACCCACGGAAAACAATACCTGCGCGAAGCGCGCTTTTTTCTAGTTTAGTTGGAAAGTTGGAAAACTGAAAATATCTGAAACCATCTATCTAAAATTCTTTGATACAGGTTGACGGAAAAGCTGATCCTCACATGTCCTGTTTTTTCGATTTTTCAGCGTCTGGCCTCAGAGTTAGTGTTGATAGATACCAATGAGGAACTGGCAAGGGCAGAGGCTGAAGATATCAGTCACGCGGGTGCTTTCCTCGGTAATCCAAAGATCGTTGGGACGAAAAGTGAGTGCGAGAGAGAGGGCACACGTGAGAGTCTCAGCGCAAGTTGAAAGGTCAAACTTGCGAGAGTTCTTGCCCGAGAAGAAGGTATCGTGGTAGAAAGATTAAGCCATAAGCAGTAATGTTAACCTGTCCAGATTACCTTGCGGCCAGTGATGCGGCTGTCTGCGTCATCACCGCAGGTGGCAGACAGCATGATCATCAACAACCCAGTGAAATACTTGGTAGTAATCTCGATATATTCAAGAGTGTTATTCCGAACGTTTGCAAGTTTGCTCCCAATAGTATTTTAATCATCGTGACGAGTCCAGGTGAAATTTTTTTTCATGTTTTATGAGAGTATACATCAAAGAGGCGGAGATGATGGAAGAGACTATTGAAAGGACTCTTTTGCAATATCACTTTTATGTTATTTCAGTCGATATCCTTTCATATGTAGCCTTGAGACTCTCTGGATTCCCGCCCAATCGTGTGATAGGCCTTGGGACCTTTTTAGATAGCTGTAGATTCCAGTACTTTATCGGTGAGAAATTGGGCATTTCACCAAGTTGTGTGCAGGCTTTTGTGATCGGTGAAAACAGTCCAGTATCTGGTAATTAATATTTTCTAGAACTCCAGGGAAGTAGAGTGAATCACGTTAATTATGCATAACTTCACAGTGCCCGTGTGGTCTGCGGTCTCGGTGATGGGAATGCAGCTAAAGGACATAAACCGAGAGATTGGTGGGAGAATGGACCCTGAGGGATGGAGCGAAGTGCATAATAAAGTTGTTGCTAGTAATGAAGAGCTGATGATGAGGAAGTGTAACAAATGGGCAGCGGGAGTTTGTGTCGCTGAGATAGTTGACGCTGTTGTCAGGAACACATGTGTTTCCATGACAGTATCTACATTTATCATGGTACTTTATCAACTTATTGAATAAACCTCCTGAAGTGATATGATGTTTGTTTTGCTTAGGGATGTAAGCATGGATTTGAGAAGGATATTTTCATGTCTCTCCCCTGCATAATCGGCAGAAATGGAGTTCAATCATATATCCGTCATCTATATACGCAAGAAGAACAAGAATTGACAACTAAATCCTGTAAATCTATTTATGAAGCTCAAAAATCGATTCTAGGAGCATTGGAATAGGTTTTTTTTTTATTTTCTAATCGAAACTATAATTTATTGTTGAATACATTCGAGAGTGTTCCTGATGGGACCTGAAAATAGTACTACCGATGTCAATAAAGTTAAAATGATGTCCATGAATTCTTTTTACTGAATAATTAATTAATGACTCAATCTGAGGTTCAATAAAAATCAATAAATGATGAGATATGCTAAGTATTTATGTGAGTTACGCATTTCGGATCAAAACCAGGAGAATCATCCTGTGTTTAATTCAATAATATTCTACAATAATTCAGTAGCGATGCGGTAAATCGGGTTAAGTCGATTTTTTTCGAAAATGAGTTTTTCACTGAAATCGACTCTTGAGAGCATGCTGCATCTGCCGCATAGACGAGTTTAGCCTCAAAATATATTTAATGCCTTTTTCGGAACGAAATAAAACGGGTTAAGTCGCAAGTTTGGGAAAAATCCGGTAAATGTTAAGAAAGAGGGCCTCAACCATCGGATCAGTGAAACCATAACCATCGGATCTTTCTGAAAACTTAACCATCGGAGCGATGATGGGGCCCTCTTTCTTAACATTTACCCTATCCACCTGATAATTTCTCAATCGATTTTTTTATTGAGTGGCGGTCCAAGTTGACATAACTTGGTTGGAGGGGAAAATTAAGAGAGCTAAGTCGACTTAACTCTTCGAGTGTGGAAAACAATCCGAGCTAAGTCGATAAAAATTGTTAAAAAATGGTCTGCAGAGTTTGCAACTTATCATGCTAAAATCTCCCTCGATATTGAACGAAATCCGTGCCTGAGTTCAATTCACAAAAGGACAGTCACTATCAGTTTTTCAGCTCTCCTGTAAAATTCACATTTTTCGACTTGACCCGGTTTACCGCTTCGCTACTGAATTCGACTATTGCAGCATTTTATGAAGCCTACTTGAATTGATGGCATTGCTCTTTGAAAATAAAGACGGTTACATTCCACTGAATTGTAATAAATACATCAAGTGATTCGAACACTGGAGGATTCATTTCACCCAGACATTTTTTTCTTACCTGGACAAATTTTTAATTAAACAATCAAGTTTTTTTTCTAAAACCTCCCAGTACCAATATAATTCCATTATTATCATAGACGTAATGTTGGTGCAGAATAATATGAGACTGAGTTACACGGAAATCATATTGGAATAATGAAAGCGTCATGCGTACACATGTGCTTACCGCGAAAAGCGACGACGTCTCTTAATGAATCCTCCAATTAATTATGGAATGTGACAAAAATAAAGCTACCCCCGGACACCAGACACTCTCACAAGTTTCACGACATAAGCGTCGCATTTTCATCCTGAGTGATTCATTATATCACCAAGTAACGAATGTGCCTGCGGGCTGGCGACGGGCTTCATCTTACCACTCGTTTAAAAGGGGGCGAATAAAAGCCCAGGGTAAGAGACAAGAAGAAGCCCACGAGATTGGCTTAAAGGAGGGCAACAGGAGCATAAAAGGTGTGGAGTCAAAGAGAGAACGTTTGCGACAGCGGCGAAATATTTGGGGTCCTTACCACACATACATATATGCAATGCTCGAAGACTTCCAAGAGAAGACCGGGCCCATTTTTCTGTATTATCTCGATGACGCGTCTCGGGGACCATAATTTATGAAGAAAAAAAAAAAAAACTGCTCCGATCGCACTCAGTAATGACATAATTCCCCTGGGCGCTCGAGCAGATTTTTTAAAATCGTTTTTTCTTTTTATTTTTTTATTAAATATTATTCTTTTTTCCATTATATATGTCCGACGTATTCATCCAGGGGCCAGTAAATTTTCCTTCAAAATTTTGAGTGTTATGCCAAAGTAAGCCGCTGGAATGTCGCCGTGAAACACTAGGTGCAAGGCTAATTACACTTTTTATTTCGTCCACAAATTCATTTAATGCCCTCCTGGGAGTCTCAAGGGATTTAAATAAAGAAAAATCGATGGTAAAAGAGCGAGAGAGAAAAGAGGAAGAAGGGGGAACTCGTAAAACTGAGTATATACAGCACAGTTGCACTCTGGGCTTTCTTTATCTCATTCGTTTGCTCACCTAAGGACTCTCTGCGACCTTGATTGAGTTACGATTTAATTAGGCCGCACACAGGTGATTAAGATATCTGAGACCCCACGCTATTTTGTTTACTCTCGTTATTTTCGATGTTTTTTTTTCACTTTTTATTATGCTCGTTTTTAACTTCAACTTCCTCGAGTGTTTGGTGGAAGACGGGAAGGGATAGGAAGAGTGTGGGAGAAAGGGTGTTAGTGACGAGTCAGTGAATTTAAGTAGATGTGAAATCTGCAAGCTGCGGGCTACCCACATAATTCAAAAGTCTTTTTATTCTGTCCTGCAATTTTTTTTATTCGCATTTTTTGTGTCTATTATCATCTCATGTCCGTTACCCGGATCGTATAATCATGGAGGAATATGGAGACGCTGGGAATGAAATGCTTGGATGAAAATAACACAAGGCATTTCGAGAGGGGGACGTTAATCCTTTAAACTCTGCGTTTGATTCGGCTTTGGGGGAAGCGTAGACGATGACATTCTGATTTTCGTTATTGAGATTATGGAAGAGTTATGTAAGAAGGTAGTCGGGGAAAAAAGCCACGAAAAAAGAAAACCACGCACTAATCATGTGTTAAAATCTATGTGATTTGACTTTTTTTGTGGTTGTTTTTTTCTAGATTCATGTAAGAGAAGTCGAGGAGATTAGAGATGTTTGCGTACAGAAGGAAAAAACACTGAATTTTTAGAATATCTTGGGAGCGACAAAATTTGAGGACATAATGTCCAGCGGTATTAGTTTCATTTTCAATATTTGAATATTGAAGAACACAAAAATATTAACCGTGGATCAGAACTTCGAAAGAGATATACTCCAATCTTCGTACAAGATACCGCAGAGACTGCCCCGAGTGGAAATTCCGGTCAGGTCTTGATCAAGTTTGGATCAGGTTAGACCTGACCATACTGATCAGGTATTGATCAAGTTGACGGATCCGGTCTTGATCAGACATGTTACGCCTCTGACCAATCCGGATTTGATCAGGACGAATGGATACTATGCCTATCGAGACTGAGACAGTTCCTAAAATTTCCAGGTTGTTTTAGAGCGAGCAGAGACAATCCCTTCAAAGTGAAAACTCGTTGGAGTCTCGTGCGCACCAGTAACCTGAACAAAGTACAAAGTACTTGGATATCCTTAAAAAATCATCGGAACACCTTTACGGTCCTCACACTTCTTAATGAATAAATTTTTTTGATGACAAAATCTCTCAAACTCCTCCACTTCGAAAGTATATATTTGCAAGATAAATTTTAGACTCATGTTATTCTTCTGCTTGATGATGACTGGAATTTTTCCTCTTCAAAATATGTGCGCACTGACGTACAATGGTCGCGGTGGCTAAATCGTTAGTTCGGCTTGGCCACTAGGAGGTCGTGGGTTCGAATCCCATTCCGGTCGGGTTTTTTAACTTCTGGAAACAGGGTTTGGGGGCTCGAAAGTGTGGCTGGGCTTCGGATCCCGACTGGAGGGGGACCCTTAACTTCCGGTAAAGGGGGTTAAGGGGCTCGCCTGGGGCGGATTGTGGTGGGGTCCGTCTCACCTCGGCTCTGGACGAGCGGAAGGTTCCTAATAGAGAGAAATCGACCGTACTGAAGGAGGTTTTCTGTGGTTTCCTTCGTCTCTCTCGACGGAGCAAATGCGATACATTGTAGCAAGTCGGCCACAGCCGCATGGTTAGGTAGAGGATAGATGGCGGAGTAAACCAAATGGTTTAAAATGCCTTAAGTAAAAAATAATATACTTCGTCATTAGGCCGAAAAAAACTTTTCTGGCGAATATGAGGTTTGCAGCACGAGCCGAAGGCGAGGGCTGCAATCATATTCGTCAGAAAAGTTGTTTTTGGCCGTATGAGGAACAATATTTTTTGTTATGACGGCCGTAGGCAGAGATTCACGGACGCGGAGCGTCCGTGAAACGCTGCCTGACGGCCGGAATGACAAAAAAAAATATGTGCGCGAGGCAAAATGAAATCCACCGTTGGTGTCATTCTCCTCTTGACCCTCTCCCACTGCTGTCACCATTCTCGTTTGGCTGGTGAGCCCCGTGTGAATGCAACCACAAACCAGTCTCCTTTTTTTCGCAAGCGTATTGTTACGAAACATTCAAGTGTGAATGTCCGATGTTTGTTTTGAGTTGTACGCAGGTAAGACGCTTTTGTCTCTGATCGACGACAGAACGAGTTTGCACCACCGGCGATGAAATAAAGTATTATAATACTTTATTTATGTCTGAATGAATATTCTCACTGAAGTGCTTCATTCTGATTCTTGACGACGAGTGAATTATTCAGAAGGGGATAATGGTGCATTGTGTCGGGCAGTCTATGATATGCAAGTGGTTGTGAGGGTTAATATCTTATCTCAAAATCTCAGAAATATTATCTCCACAGATTAATGAAGAAAGAGAGGAAAAAAATGTGAACGAACAAGTGTACAAATTCCCCGGCGCTGATGAAGACATTAGCGGCTTTTCTTGCCTTATTTGAACATCCCGGAGAACCCTCTCATCGTCGCGGCTAATCGAGTCGACGATAAGAAGGTTGAATTCCCGTTTGCAACTTCTTCCTGTCCCGAGGAAAGAAGCGCCCGGAGGTGGAAGAAAGAGGTTTTCAAATTGCTAATAAAAATATAAGTAAATGAGTGAATGAGGAAATAAATAAAAAGGAGACTGGGAGGAGAGGAAGAGGGTGAGAGGAAAAATGGCGATTTGAGCGAGGAGTGTGTCGGTTAGCTTTAACCACTCACATCGCTAATGCCCCCGAGTGATACAGTTTATGCAAAATGATCGGGGCAACAGCAGGAGACCCGTTTTGACAATTAAGATTCCCCTGTTATGCACACCCGGGATTTGTACGTGTGTGGAGCGGTTGGGCAGTGACCGTTTTGGTGGAATATATGGTGGAGATAAAGATAT